AGCAAGCTTTGCGAGCATAGAATCCAAAGGTGGCATCTTATTGCGGAGCAATGAGTGCATCGTTAGATTCCAATCCGGGTTTTTTCGTCGCGCAAGTAACCGCGAGCATAGCAAGTCCCATATGGACAAGCGAAGAAAAGATGGTCCCTAGTCTCATCCGGTTCTCCACATAGCGGGCATGCTTGTGTTATTCCCCATTGCCGCATTCGTGCGCCTGTTGAGAGCTTGTTTCGAGAAGCCAGCCATGTGATAAATCGTTGTCTCGGTATTGCCTGGGAGAACCAAAGAAGTCGATGCCATTCAACAATTGGAGCTTTAGCCCTGATTAAATGCCAAGTTTTTTTGGTGGAGAATTTGTCACCGTATGTGTCGTTCTTCTGCTTCCAAAGAACCTTGTCCTTTCCCGCCATAGCATTTGGTAACGCAAGTGTCCGTAAGCATGTTGATATAATCTGAACGCCACAGTTTCGACTTCGTCTGAAAACCCACTTGTTACCTCTTAATGCATCCGACACTTTGGCTTCTCTTGGTATCCCCATCAGTCGTGTACCCACCTCTCCCATGATGTGAATCAAAGGACCTATGCTTAACCAGTTATCGAACCAGAAAGAAGTAGTAGAACCATCTTTTACCTCAGTTTTCAGAAAGTTTGCAGCTTAAGGAGCTTCTTCCACGTCCAAGATCCCCTTGTTGTTTTTTTAGAGATGTCCCAAAACGAGCTGTTCCGCAACAGATATTGTCTTGTCCAAGCTACCCATAGTGATCCTGAGTTTTCAAACAGTCTCCATATCAATTTCAGAGAGAATACCTTTGAAGAGTCTCTCAACTTTCGAATTCCCAAACCTCCCTCGTTCTTGGGGATGCAAAGATCTGCCCAAGCAACCTTGGACTTAGTCGTTATATTTGGTGATCCAGACCATAAAAAAGCTGCACACATTCCTTCAATCATGTCAATACTGGATATCACCGATGTGATAAGTTGCTAACGGCCTGCATAAGACAAAGTTTTGGTTGCCCATGTGTTGAGCCGAGTCCTAATTCTGTCCACAAGCGGTTCATAGTCTAGTCTAGTCATTCCTTTCGTCGCCCAAATACCTTATGGGAAGCGTATCCATGGGAATCCCAAGTGATGTTGCTGTTTCATGCAAGCTTGACTGAGTGCGACCAGCAACATATAAAGTCGATTTGCTCATATTGATAGCCAATCCGGATTCAGCTTCAAACTCCTTCAGAACCGCAGCT